ACGCTGGCTTTACCGCAGTGCTTTTACGATGCAGTGAAGCTTGAACATATTTAGGTATTTGTTCTTTTGTTTGCCTGAAACGGACGTGAACAGATGCATATCTGGCTTGAGCAGTCGCAAATGCTTATATTTGTTTGATGCACAAGTGGCCGGGGCATGTGTTCATTTCGTATCATCTAATGCTCTTGTGCTAACGCTGACTTTACCTCAGGACTTTTGCGATGCGTGAAGCTTAATCATCTTTTGGTAATTGTCTTTTTGTTTCCCTGAAACGGACGTGCCAAGATGCATATTTAACCTCAGCAGTCGCAAATGCTTATAATTGTTTGATGCACAAGAGGCCTGTGCATGCGTTCATTTCGTATCATGTAATGCTCTTCTGCTTACGCTGGATTTACCGCAGTGCTGTGGGAATGTAGTGAAGCTTAATCATCATTTGGTAATTGTTTTTGTGTCTCTCTGAAACGGACATGCCAAGATGCATATTTGGCGTGAGCAGTCGCAAATGCTTATATTTGTTTGATGCACAAGTGGCCTGTGCATGCGTTCATTTCGTATCATGTAGTGCTCTTCTGCTCACGCTGGCTTTACCGCAGTGCTTTCGCGATGCAGTGAAGCTTAATCATCTTTTGGTACTTGTCTTTTTGTCTAACTGAAACGGACGTGCCAAGATGCATATTTGGCCTGAGCAGTCGCAAATGCTTATATTTGTTTGATGCACTAGTGGCCTTTGCATGCGTTCTTTCGTATAATGTAACGCTGTTTTGCTCACGCTGGCATACCGCAGTGCTTTTGCGATGCAGTGAAAGAATTACAGTAAGGTGAACCAGGACTTTTTTTAAGGTGTTTGCTTCGCTACTTAATTATTGTGTGCTGTAGTTTCACGCATTGGTTACACGAAAAGAGTCCCTCTTATGCTAGCACTGCTGAAGTATTGTGTATTTTTTCACGGAGCTCTAGCAAAGAAATCGAAGGAAACCTTGAGTTCTTTTTTTTTATTTGTTCAAAATAGGCTGCCGGATTTTGGACACCAAGCATTTAAAGAAAAGGAGACAAATAAACAAACATGCAGAAAAGCCGCCACGAACAAAACCACATAACACAGATCACGTGAAATCCAACAGCAACTCAAGTTTGAAGCGCAGCGTTTCAAAATGAACCCCAATTGCTGCAAACGATGCACGACAAACGAAGAAAGCGTGGCCACCGAGAATAACTCTTCACCATTCCCGAAGGACCATCCATCATTGACGACACAAGGGTTGAGCTGATTGCTTCGATTATAATTTAGCAAAACAAGAATCATACTTGTGAACTGCAAACATACGAGAGGTACGGAAACTGAGAACACTCAAGCCACGGACACTGTACAGTCTGTGAGCCTATGAGAAGAAGCAACTTCTAAGACTGAACACACACACACACAAACACCACACACACACACACACACACACACACACACACGCACGCACAGAGAAGAGAGAGAGAGAGAGAGAGAGAGAGAGAGAGAGAGGATGAGCGTTCACTATCAAGCAATCCGGTGTGGGACAGCCGCAACATCATAAACACACACCTCCCTGACGAGATCAAATTTCAAAGCAGGCCAACGTTTCTACATATTTATAAATCGATAGCTCTACCTTTGCTTAAACATTCAAAAGCAATTCTTGACTAAAATTATCTTATTTCGGTACTCTTGTAGACGGCATCAGCAATGCCCTTCCCAGTAATTTCTTAATTTTCTCAAATATTAATTTTGATTATTACAGTCGCATTTTATTGCGTGCTCATCGTCATACTTCTAGCAAAGTAGGCCCTTACAGTTTGCATGGTTACGGCCTGGATTTAAGGAAAGGCTAGGTTCATCTCCTGCCCCGCCACGGTGGTCTATAGGCTAAGGAACACGGCTGCTGACCCACAGGTCGCGGGATCGAATCCCGGCTGCGGCGGCTTCATTTCCGATCGAGGCGGAAATGCTGTAAGCCCATGTGCTCAGATTTGGGTGCACGTTAACGCAACCCAGGTTTTCGAAATTTCCGGAGCCCTCCACTACGGCGTCTTGAAGTGCTGAAAGAGCAAGATGTATCAAAGTATATTGTGCGCATATAACCATTGTAGGAATAGGAAAGTATGGACCAATACTCAGTTCATAGCTGATGGTTTTTCATTGTATATTGTGGCGGTACTTTGTGATGCCCTCGTATTTTTTCGAATATGTGAAATGTGAATGGTCTTGATATGCCAGGTAGTTAAAGGAAATAAAAAGTGAGCGAGGCGTAGTGGAGAGGATTCCTGACATCTGATATCGCGGACCCAGGGGTCAATGGCTCGAATCGGATTTTTTTTTTTGTCTTTTGGTCGTGTGAATTTTTCAACGTCACTTCCGGGACAAAAATACATCACTGAAATCTCGATTGACCCCGGCATAAAACAATTGTGTGTTAAAAAGGTATTTAAGAAACGCATAAATGTCATCATAGAACGGCAATGTAAGATCGCACAACTAATTACATCTTTTTTTTTTTTCGTAAAGCAACGAACTGTGCCTGTTCATATATCACAAGGATGGAGGTTCTACCGAGTCTCGGCAAAAGCGTAAGAATCAGAATTGGCTCAATCGCGAAGTATTAGGGGTCAATCTAATAGGCCTTGGTTCCGACTGCAGTATAAGCATTTTGTCGCATCTGCCTAATGATAATGAGATCGACTTCGTAAAAAAGAGAATTTTCGCTGCATGATGTCGCCTAAAGTTATCCTGCCTTTTTTTCTTTTTTTAATATCCGAATAAAGGTCGTTGTTAGTTTATTTACAACCCTTGAGCTGATCTAGGGTTCTTTTACTTAGAAAAGTGAAGGGTGAAGTGGGTAGAAGGGTGCAAACAGGTGGGGAAAGCAAATGGGTTTTGTGCGTGGAAATTCTCCCATTTTTTTTCTTAGAAATGATGCGCTCTTGTTAGTGCTATTTTCGTACTGTTTCCTCCTCACGCTCTACAGCGCTATTCACAGTCCTCCATGTTTCACAACTCGCTGTTCCTTCCCAGGCTGGGAGTACTCGGCGTTCGTGTTCTGCATCGTAAACAGCGTGGCGTTCGCCTTCATCGCCTACGCCTACCTCACCATGTTCATCACAATCACGCATTCCAAGGTGGGCCTACGCTCCACGCAGCAGCTGCAGGATCGAGCCATCGCCAAGCGATTCGCCTTCATCGTGGGCACCGACTTTCTGTGCTGGATGCCGATCGTGTTCATCAAGATCATTGCCATAGCCGGTACGTGAGCCTGTGAACTCCGCGACGCCCGAATTGCGTTTTCGCAATCTCATCGCGATCATTTATTGACCCTAAAGGCCATTCACGGGGATTAGTCAAGGGTGTAGGTGGGGGAACAAGAACGTCAATCTTTAAAAAAAAGACACTGTGAAGCAGCGTATGGAAGCCTGTGCATGAGGTTCCAGAAGCTCTCGCAAGCTGTCAATGATTCTCGCCAGGTTCTCCGCGTGCAAAGGGATGGATGCAGACTTCAGTGGCGTAGCCAGGCCTCTCCATTTTTTATTTCTATTTCCATGGCATACAAATCAGGAAATCACACCCAACGACATTTGCCTGCATGGCCCACACTTCGAATTAAGGATATGTCGCCCCCAAAAAATTCTGTCTACGCCCCTGGGAGACATTCCTTATTGACCTTAGTAAGAAAATTCGAAAATGTTGATTGATTGATTGATTGATTGATTGATTTGTGGGGTTTAACGTCCCAAAACCACTATATGATTATGAGAGACGCCGTAGTGGAGGGCTCCGGAAATTTCGACCACCTGGGGTTCTTTAACGTGCACCCAAACCTGAGTACACGGGCGTGCAACGTTTTCGCCTCCATCGGGAATGCAGCCGTCACAGCCGGGATTCGATCCCGCGACCTGCGGGTCAGCAGCCGAGTACCTTAGCCACTAGACCACCGTGGTGGGGCAAAATTCGAAAATGTGTATGCATGGCACTATTTGAGCTACCCCCGAAGGATGCTGGTTTGGGACAGTGTTCTCTGCTGAGTTACATCGTAAAACGAGGAACAATTCTAAAATATCCACAGCTGAAGAAGTCATTCTAATAGAAAAGAAAAATTACGGCTCACCTTTTTACCCTGATTTCACTAGGTTTAAAGTTCGAAGAACTTGCTCGGACCAACTCTCAGTAGTCTCGTACTGTTTATTGTTGTAATATCTACGGCACATTACCTCTTTTTCTGCTAACGAATATGTCCTTACCGTATTCAAATGAAGGTTTGTCCACGCGTGCGACAAGACATTGTCTCTTGATGAGAAATATGGCGCGAATAAACTACCCACTGAACGATTGCACTGCGAAAGCATCGGCCTTGCCAGCTAGACGTTTGTCAGTGTCTCGTGTTACAACCATTCACACCACCCCCATTTTCCCAAAGTTGCGGAACCGTTTTGTGATCTTCACTGATTCTCTTTGCAGGAACAAAGATCGACGAGACGTTGTACGCTTGGGTCGCAGTGTTTCTGTTGCCTGTGAACTCGGCGCTCAACCCCGTCTTGTACACACTCACCACGCGAATGTTCAAGCAGCAGCTGAACCGGTTCCTGGAGAACTTGCGCCAGTGTGAGCGGGTACCTTCGTACCGACAGTCCGGCCAGTCGGGCCAGTCGGGCCAGTCGTGGTCGTCCATTCCCACGGTGCGAAGCCAAAAGAAGACGATCGTTACTTCACTTTCCGAAGTGAGATGCTCTCATTACTCACTCATTCGGAGTTCATTGCTTGAGGCCTGCGAAAGCTGCAACAACGTACTGTGGGACAGGAGTCGGAGATGTTTTCCAGAATCACTCTAAATGAATCACGTATTAGTCCTATACTCGCATATCGTGCTAACACTACATGCACAATTAAAACTCGTGCCTCATCAGGAGGAAACAAACTCACAAGCTTCCTTGCGCATTGCCCTAATATTACTCAAAGGCGGAAGCATTATTTAAGTTTGCTGTAAAAAATGAGCCTCCGCCGTCCCTCTCTGATATATCTCTATATCTCGGCTGGTTCTGCAATGTTTCCATGATTGGAGCTCCTTTGCCGAGGCGACGACGTTATCAGATGACGTTACCATGTGAAGTCTCGTTACAAAGTGACGTCCTGAGGACGTCATAGACTTCGGCGTTCTGTGACTTCCTGGTAATAACACAGAGGCATGTCACGTGATGATAACTTTAATGCGTAATTTACGCCAGGGTTCACCAAAATTTTAGTGATGTATTTCTATCATCGATATGACGCTGATAAAGGTAACTCATGAAAATGAGAAAAAAAATACCTTATGAAAAACTACCTCTTCCGGGAGTCGAACCTTTGAACGCTTAGCCCGCTACGATAAGTGCCCGGAGCTCCACCGACTAAGCTATATGAAAGCTTTTTATTTTTATTTCATAGTATTTAGTGTAATGCATATTTGAAATTGTAGCATTGACGTAGTGACAAATTCACTTAGCGGCAATATTTGCAGAACGACTGCACAATAATTCATAGGCTTACGTAGAGGTATATACTTAGCAAGTCCAGAAAAAGAGGAAAATAGGCACATAGCTATTTTGTTTGAAACGCGGTGATATATTTCTCGCATTCTCTCTTGCTCTCTGCTGCTGTTTTGGAACTCTGGGGCGCAGTACTCTTTTGGTGTATAAGACGAAAGAGTAAACGCTCCTTCTGCATTGTGAGCGCTTTGCTAGTGCTATGAAAAGTCGCCTTCACTAAGTGCTAGCCTTCGGTGATTTCTTCGAAGAGAAAGACTGCAGTGAAATTGCCATCCTTTTCTGAGTAAGGCGCGGGCATGGTCCGGCAATTAAGACCGCTGGACACGGCGCTGGCCTCTTCATTATTCCCCGAGACCCACGTGTGTGAGGGACCATCTGTCGTCCGGTGCACAGTTGCGTAGGTGCGGTCACTGTTTTCTAAAATTTCATGCTCTAGGTATCGGGTGTATCCTCTTCCAATATGTTTACAGTCTCCTCGCGAGTCAGTGATGATGACTCTAAAATGCCCGTGACAAGTTGCCAGCACAGTGGCCACTTCCGCAATTGTTGCCTCTCGTGTTTTTGAAAGTTAGGCCACCTATTAGTGTGTTTTGGTGCCCTACCGCGGCCGTGTACTATCCATGATATGGGCTGGAGGCATCCACCTAAACAACACTGTGCGTGTTCGCCGCAGAGTGGTGCGCCAGAGCTCTGGCTGTTGCTAGATGCCGACCACTATGGTTTTCTGGTACTATACAATTAAGAAAAATTGCCCGCAGCTTCCCTTGGGGGAACACTGAGGAGGATGCGGACCATATAATTGGCTAACGGGGTGTTAAAGTGCGACTTACTTGGGTCGATGGCTAAATTGGTTAACGTGGTTGTGAAATGGGGTGTTAAATTGCGATTTACTTGGGTCGATGGCTAAATTGGTTAACGTGGTTGTAGGAGGGGGTGTTAAATGAGTGAACACGTACACACGTATGCGAAAGGGCGGCGCTGGTCGAAGGGACGTCGATCATTGTGTTTGTGGATTCGCTGGAATTCATTTCACCGCGACTTTGGACGTCGATGCGCCGTACAAACCAACCGACGAGCGGCAATTGAGCGAGCGAGCGCCGACCTTGAGTATATATACAGCACGACGGCGCATGCACTGTCAGCTGTTGAAGGTTCTCGAAGCGCGACGCCACATGCGCGTCCACTGGAGAATCAGGAGAATTGTAGATGTCGAACGCGGTGTGTAGAGGAGGAAGGGTGCACAGATGGTGGAGGAGTGAAGCGCGCGCGGTGTGTAGAGGAGGAAGGGATGCACAGATGGTGGAAGAGTGGGTGACGGCGCGACGGCGCATGCGCGCGCGTCAGCTGTCGATTGTTCGAGAAGCGGTGCGGACGGCGCGGACGGCGCGGACGGCGCACTACAAGGCGCGAGTATAAGATGCTCCGCATCTAAAAGGGCGTGCGCCGATGGCATGTCTCAGGACTTCCCGAAGGCGTAAATGGCCTTCGTTTCGTGTAGGTTGTTGAATCTGCAGTCTAGTATGAACAAGACGTCCTGATTGTGTTTTTAAAATGAATCTTCTATTGATTCGTCAGTTGTGGTTCCCTGAGTTCTTGGCAGGTGTTGGTCATTCATATATGCCAAGTAGGTACGTTGATCGGAAGGTCGTAGGCTCGCTTGCGTTTTTGGGGATAAGCGACTTCAACAGCCTTTTCGTCGGATTTTAGAAGGTGTAGATAGTGGGTAGAATTCAGAACGCGTCTTGTTACAAAAACGCGCTCCAGCCGCAAAACGTCTTTGCATCGCATGATATGCCATGTTTGTTTGAAACCTCTATCCTGCGGCCTACGTGGTCGCTCACCTTGCGCAAGGTGGTCAGGGTTGTGTCTTCAGCGGTGATCTGCAATCCCTGTCCAGTAGTCTCTGTATCGTCCTCGTCTCGTCAGCCTCAGCACAACTAGAAGGTTATGTCAATTCGATATATATTACTGTTCTTATCCTGCTCGGAGGTAGGTCCGTATGCGAGGAATAGTTCAATATTATAAATCTATACACTTCTGTGTGAGACGAATGTATACTAAGTCCAAACTTGTGGGGGAACACTGAAGTCCATCACTGCGGTAAGCGTAGGTTTCTACGATTTCTACTGCTTCTTGCGTGGAGGTTTCCATTTCACCTACGCAACCTTGTTTAGTCGAAAACACACACACACACACACACACCCACACCCCCCCCCCCCACAGAGAGAGAGAGAGAGAGAGAGAGAGACAAAGGACCAACTATCAACTGTGTTTCATTAAAAACACAGCAATGTACTCGCGCAAAGAATTTAAAAAGAAACAAAGAATACTTGATTCAGCGGCTGGCACTCGAGAAATTTAACTCAGTGACGTACAACACGACAAAGGGCTTCACCATGGAGGTGTAACTAGATTTGTTATTAAAGAAACACGTCCTCAGTGTTTCGCGCAGCTATCTTTTAAAATCTTAAATAACACCTTAGCTCCAGACATCCACGGCACGCAACCGAACTCCTTACAGACCACTTGCAAGATCGAACATTGTGTTCCCCACAATGAAACCTTGTGATCTAATAATCTGCTATATAAACTTAGTTTAAATAACGCTGACACACTTTCTCTGTCACAATACACTTTGGAGAACGACTAAACATAATTTTTCATGGTTATTCAAATGCGTCACCAACTTTATTCATTACGTGGTATTGATGTTTTTTTTCACAATTCTATTTGCACTTGAAGGTTCCTGAATACTTGTGCTGTCCATGGAAAAATTTAATTGTATTAATTTTTCTTTTCTTTCTCGCAGTACACCTTCGGGAAGAAAAAAACCTCGAGCGTGGTGTGCTATCCGCTGAAGAATGGCGTGATATTGCCGCTACGGGCCACCCAATCATGCACGGAAAAGGTCAGTGATAATGCTTTCCTCAGCTTCTATTTCGATATTATATGTGCTCAAGAGCCGTGCCCAATAAATCTCAGCGATGATTATTAACACAACTCTTTATCATGGAGCTACAGAATCGGCGGTCAATTGCAGTAACAAGAAAGCCCGTGTTGTTTAACTGTGAAATATATTTCATTAGCAATTATCGTGGAGAACGTATGTTTTAGGCTTACGTCGCGTTTTAAGCTTGAGAAGGGCTTTCTTCTTTAGGACTCGCAATATTTACGGCGTAGTTGTCTTACAGGCTACTGTGAGACGCAGTAGTATTCTAAAAGAACTACTTTCCTTGCGACAGCAATTATATGAACACTCTCGGTGGGATATTTCCACCGTCGTCGGTGCCATTTAGCGTATAAGTATGCGTATCTATTTACGTGAAAACGCAAGGAAGAAAAATTGGCAGATCCCCACGTACGGTGGGAATCGATGATTTGCGAAGCATGAATGAGAAATGTTGAAATGTCATTTTATAATCAGCACAACATTATGAGGTGGAGGTAAATGATGACGTAAATGACTTCCGTGTCATGATTATCATGTTTGAATGTGTCGTTTACCTTCGTCATCTATTTACGTCACGTGATACCAAATGTAGTATATGTGGAGCTAGCAAAACGGCCACGAGCACACTATGAGTGTGATATGTTGCCATGTTCTTACATGACACGCGTGTCAGGATTATCATGCATTGCAGCAGTCATATATTTCGACATTCATTGACATCACGTAACACCGAATTTGGTATATGTGGAGCTAGCCAAATGACCGTGAGCTCATCATGAAGGGCCCAATATACTCCAATGTAGCTTTGACGCGCGCTGGCTGGGCACAGTGACGCTTCGTTAGCGAAACGCGAGCACCCTATAGTCTGAGGCCAAGCGTGACCAGCGTCCGTCGGTGCGAACCGACGGCAATCGGAAGCTCAACCTCTTGCTTGTGAGTGCAAGGCGTTAGCCACTGAGCCATGGAAGAGCATCTTGTTCAACATTGAAACGGCAAGCCATTTATAGACCGTTATCCTCAGTGGCAAAGGGGTGCTGCCACGTTGCCACGTTTGAACACGTGATCTACTGGCCTCCTTTCCACTTCCCATTCTGCGTTGCCATAGGCCGGCCGATTCCGTGCTGCCGCCGTTTCCGGGGAGGCCAGCAAATGGGGCGCAGCGGTCTGTCTTGATGTCTCCATCACATTTTGTGCACCCTACCACAGCACAAACTTCTTTTTAGGAGCGAAGCTCCTTAAGGCGTGGGCTGTGCGTCCCCGGTATGTAGCCACCTCTCGTTCAGTTCTAAGTATTACGCTAGCCACCGCCCGATCTAAAGGGTACAGCCGTATCCATCCGTCCATCCGTCCATCCGTCCGTCCGTCCATCCATCCATTCATCCGTCCGTCCGTCCGTCCGTCCGTCCGTCCGTCCGTCCAAAAGATGCAAGATGTTATAAACTAGACGGCGGTAAGTGTAGTTGATTATGAAAGATGGGAGGTGTTATAAAATAGGAATGATGCCACATATGGCGCGTGTCATCGTTCGATATAGTGCGGCGACGTACGCTAGGGGGAGCGTTGCAATAAAATCGAGTGGGCAAAATGTACGGAGGATTCATGGTTTACCAGGTTTACCTCCGGAGCTTCGCCCACTCATCATCACTCACTTCGTGGATATGGCGGCATTTTTTACGTCTCACCATTGTTCAGCTTACTCTGGCATTGTCACCCGGCAGCGCAACTGGCTCGGGAAACAGCTGACGACACATGTTTTCCTACAATGCTCAAAGCGCCGCCCGCTTCTCGTCGTAGGCTGGTGGTGCTGGTGGTAGTGGTTCGAAAAGAAGAAGAAAGGCACCAAATTTCTGGCAGCAATAAGGCGACACAGCGCCGCGCTTTAGGCTGCAAGGCAACGGCTGCCACATGCTACATCGTGGCCGCACCACCGAGAAGTTTGGTAGGAGACCGCTAGGTGGCTGCGCCTATATATAGCGCTCGCTCTCTGCTTGTTTGCTTTCTCTTTCGCCGGACACCATTCAGTGCAAGTCGATACCGCTACTCACTATGAACACCGCAGAAGCTAAGGTGGCAGCGAAGAGGGGCCCGCTATTCATGGTTTGCCAGATTTAGCCTCTAGAGTAAGCTCCTTCACCACCTGTCGCTACATGGATATGCGGTAATTTTTTTCCGGTGAATTGTTGCTTCCATTGTTTCTGCACTTGACCGTGGCCCTAAACACTCTAGTGGCTACTCGATACATCATCCTGCTCGATCTTTTAGCTTTCTATAAGACGGCTCAATTTTATTTGCATATCACATGCTATCAGCCCAGGGACTGCCAGAAGAAGCACGCAAATATTTTTAGGCACTGGGCACTCTTCCCGCACCTTAGGGGTATAGCTGCCGGTAGATCTGCATGAGGAAAACGGGCCATTTGCATTAACGACATACTGAGGGAGCAAGCTAAGGGCTACGCAAGAGAAATTATGCGCACCTTACCGCGCGCATAGGAACGCCTGCAGTTAGGTACCATGCTTAGCGCAAGTGCCGATTCTCGCTTAAAGTATCAAACAAATTTTATATCGTTGTTGAAAGCCTTCGATGTAAATAATAGAGGAGCTTATTGTGGCCCTGACACGTCTACAGCATTGTATTCTTCAGAGATGCGCTTTTCGGTGACCTATTATTTTAAGCATATCGTTGCACATAACAGTTTCACTCTTCACACTTACGCGGAAAATTTCTTTTTTTTCCTGTACGCTCCTTAGAGCGACACTAAACACGTGCTTCTCGGCGCTTCACTTTCTTCTCTTCAATTCACCTCTATTTTTCACGAAATGTATTTTTCGCAGCAGTCAAGTGTACGTCAGCATGCCATGCACTATAGTGGTATAGTAGTAATAATAGTAGTACACTCGTAGTAGTAGTGGTAGCAGATAGCAACCTGACCAACAGTTTTAGGAACCAAGCTTTTTGGGCCGTGTGTCATTTCCTCCTTCGTATGCAGTGTGTAGCCACTTCGAGATTATGACTTGCTCAATAGATGGGGTCGTGTGTGTAAGTCCTTTTAGATCATTCTACACAAAAAACGACGCTGTACGACCATTTGGACGTAGTAGATTAGCTGTTAAGAGTTTTCTTCACAGATTTATAATAATGAAAATCTTTTAACATACTCCGGCAAAAAATATTACAGTTTTCTCACTTACTAGAGGACAGATAGAGCCCCGCCGTGATTCTATTCGATGGAGGCGAAAATGGTGTAGGCCCGTTGCTGTAGGTTCACGTTGAAGAACCCCATGTGGTCAAAATTTCCGGTGCCCTCCTCTACGGCGTCTGTCATAATAATATGGTGGTTTCGGGACGTTCAACCTCACATATCAATTCTAGCATAGCTCTAAAGTGGGCTAGTTGATTTCGGTTCACATTCAAACGTGATGTTAGTAAACACAGACACCAGTATGCATAAAATACATGATAACTTTGTTACAAATTTTCAATAGCGAAGGAGCTAAATCTTGGTGCAATGCGTATGACCGTAAGGAAAAAGCTATCATCATTATAAATGGGGATGTGCCAGAAAAATTGGGTGGTTCCCCCTGATCCCTATGGTCCCTTAAAGAGGAAGAAGGCAACAGTTAGTCCAAAAACAAATGATTGCGAAGCAACCGTGGTCAGCCGAAGATCCTGAGTACGTACAGCGAGAAAATACTAGGCAGCGTAAAATCCAACGGTCGCCAAGAGAAGGATCTGAAGCGATAGAAGACCTACACCAATGATGATGCGGCCGCAGATATATAAGAAGTGCGAACGCTTGGTCTCAACGCGAGTTTCTGCAATTTAGGCATCTGTGTCAGGCCTGTGAACGGAGCGTAAGGACAGGTTTTGTGTGGTCGAAGGAACACCTTTTTGAAATGCTCATGCTCTTGCTCGTCATTCTATGGCGAAAAAAATTTTAGAGGTTAGGAGGGGGAAGAGGGTGGGCTTGGTATGCGGTATTACAACAAATTGTTAACATGGTATTAGAGCGGACGTTACTGTCGACAGTACCGTAAATAATTATTTTCTTATTGACTCGGTTGATTGGCGGATAATGGATATGGCATTTTTCCTGCAGTGGGCGTAGTCAGGCTGATGTTGATGTTAGTTAGTGATATCGGCAAAGGATTTGTCATAGGCATTAGCCTACTGTACACAATATTCAGTTCCCTTATTTCATGAGAATGTTTTTTTGAAAGCACTGCATTATTAGCGCAGTGAAAATGGCGGATTATGCGCATCGTCACATTCTTCTGCAATAAATCACTTACAACTTACAATAAACAAATCAAGATCCCGATATATTTCTTTGAAATCACAAAATACGAAAAATACAAACTTGAAGTCACGAAGGTGAGTGCCATATGAGGGTTTTCCTTTCTACACAACTGAATAAATCGACCGAATTGTCATGTGCCTGCCAAAAAATCTGGCGAAGGAGTGTAATGTCACCTTTTTTTGTCTCTCAGTCTGCTCCTTTTGTTCCACGCTTTGGAGAACCAAGTGTATGCTGCATTCACTTCGTGCGGCTGACCTTATACTATCGATAGTACTATCGAACACACTATAGATAGCGCTATCTACAGTTTTTGTAAACAACATGATTGGACTAGGAGGAACGCTGTACGGGGAAACACCGGAGACTTTGAACATATGGTGTTATTTATTGGGCACTAACATGGAGCTATACCCGGGCTTCTAACATTTTGCCTCCATCTAAATGCTACCGTGATGGTATGTTTGCCGTTGACCTGTGGGTCAACATATTATCAAAAGTTCGATAGTGACCCACCATTGACTGTATTGATAGTAGCATCGATAGTACTGCCTTACTAAACGATACACCGTAGACAGGCGGCGTGAAGCTTTCAAGGATTCAGAGATGGTCGTTTAATCTATTCCTATCTTGCAAGATTGAAGAGAGATTTTGAAGCACG